ACGCGCGTTCACGACAGTACCATGACGCGAGCGTGTGGCGGCGCCCGTCGCTGACCCAGATCCGGCGTGATGATGTCATTACGCCAGATCTGGGTCAGCGCCGGCGCCGCCACACGCTCCCGTCATGGTACTGTCGTGAACACGCGTCCAAAGTAATGCAGTAGAGACGAAAATGTGGAATAAAGTCGTTATTTTTGTTTTCTTTGCGTTACCCACGTGGTAGTAAAAATTTCAATAAAAATCAATTTTCAACTTTAATTGTTTTGTTAAGATGCACACACATTAATAACTTTCAACAAAAAGTGATTCCTATATTTGGGTTTCTCTCCTGAGGTGAATCAGTGCCCAAGCACACGCTGTTCCTGAAGGTCTGCTGTCCAGTTGGACCTCTATCAGATATCCCAGCATTCCCTGAGTGAGCTGGTCTAAACTGCTCTACTGGTGTGACATCAGACATGTTGAAAGGTCTGCCTCTATGGCTATGCCATGCTGTAGGAATGCTGAAAGACCACAAATGCTATGAAGGTATTTTGGAAGAGATTTATACGATTTCAAGATGTCTCACATAAAGACCAACACCACAACTGTAAACAATTTATGTTACAGATACTCCATTACATCATGAAACTGAGGTGTTTACTCACAAACATCTCATAATAAGATCTCTAATAGGCTACCTCAATTTTTTTGAGAGAGAGAGCACATGGAGAAAACGGCATTTAACTAAAATAAGGGAAGCGAATTAAAGGGTTAGTTCACCCAAAAATGAAAATTCTGTTATTAATTACTCACCCTCATGACGTTCCAAACCCGTAAGACCTTCGTTTATCTTCGAAACACAAATTAAGATATTTTTGATGAAATCTGAGAGCTCTTTGATCCATCCATAGACAGCAAGGATACTATCACGATCAACGCACAGAAACGTATACAGCAAGGACATCGGTAAAATAGTTCATGTGACATCAGGGGTTCAACTGTAATTTTATGAAGCTACGAGAATACTTTTTTGTGTTCAAAGAAAACAATAATAACATAATTTATTTAACAATTCTTCTCCCCGAGTTACCGTCTTCCGCCATTTTGGAGAGTACCCCAGAACGTAATCAATGTAATCAGCATTGTTTACATTCAGTAGAAAGCGCGCACATGCTGAACGTAAACAACGCCGATTAAGTTTTGGGGTACTCTCCAAAATGGCGGAAGACGGTAACAAAATGGCTTTCAGATTTCATCAAAAATATCTTAATTTGTGTTCTGAAGATGAACGAAGGTCTTACGGGTTTGGAACGACATGAGGGTGAGTAATTAATGGCAGAATTTTCATTTTTGATTGAACTAACCCTTTAATAAACCAAGGAAACAAATTCTTCATTTTACTGAACAAATTCTTAATCTTTTATTTCTCCCATGGATTTCAAGAGAAACATCTGAGACAAAATTCAAATTTAAATAAAACACAACCAAGATCTCCATTAACATTCTTCTTGAACTGCATCATCCACATGACAGTCATGTGTGTTTGCAGCACTCAGTCTGCAGGAAACAGAATGGAAAATCACATCTAAATAAATCCTGATAGCTTCATCTGACAGCAGGGTTGGCTAAGGTTAACGGTGTCATCGATTGACATTCCAGCTCAGTCAGAACCGGCGAGGTGATCATAGACACATACATGCAATTTATCGGACTAAATTAAGCAGGTGGGTTGAGCAGGGGTGTGTTGCCTGGGCACCAATAAGTAGGTGACTTTCTGTTATGGTGTTCAACGTGCAGCGCAGTGCTGTGAAATTTTGGCCTTGGGACGCTTGTGCCTTTTTAATTCGCTTTAAACCACATCAGTACTTCAATAAAGTCAGAAAATCTTATTACTGTATTATCTACAAGATCTTACGCTAGCATCAATATGGGCTTGAGTAGCGACGTCACAAACGTTTAGTGTATCATAACAACCACAAGTCCCTTCTAGAAACAGCGAGAAAGGAAACAGGGTCAAGGGCACAGTGTCCATCCAGAAAGAAAACAGACTCATGTTTTGTTGACGTGTTTTTGCCAACGTCTATCCAGTCACATGAGCGTGTTTAGAGTGGGCACAATGTACCTGGCACCATCCGACTACCCTTTGCCTAGAAACTTGTGACTGTGATTTTATGTTGGAATGTATGTGACAAACATTCTTCAGTTTTGGTTTTTGGCAGGAATGTCTAAAAACTAATTTAGGACATGCTTGCAGCCAGCCGACGGTCTGACAAAACTCCCTCTGTCTGACCTCTGTAAGAACACGAAAACAAGTTCAGTTATGAACAAATCCACAAGCGTGTCAAGATACCACAAGACTCTTTCACTTGAGTAACTCAATATTATAAGAAAACATGCTTTATAAATGGACGCACGTAGGCTTGCAGGACCCAGTTTATACCTGACCAGGAAGTACATCTTAACGTCTTATGCCTTAGTTGTTTATACTGGCAACACGAAGAAGCTTCACTCAACGGTTTAAAACAATTCAATCAGTGTGTCTTCCTCCAGACAAAGACGCATGATAATTTCAAACGGACGATACACATGAGACAGGAGGGTAGCCAAAGTGGACAGAGTCTCAGCTTTCTGTCATTGGGAGCCAAACAATTTCTCAATCAGTGACACTGCATTGACCTTCCCACTAAAGAGACATGCAAGATACTCTAAATCATAGGTTGAAGAGGACAGACACACAAAGAAAATAAAATAAAATAAAATAATAATTGCACTTTTGACCTAATAATCATTGCACAAAAACCAGTCAATATGACATTTTTGTTGTCAAACTTTCTCTTATTCAGCTATGTTTACTTTTCAGTCTAACACCATGAATTGGCAATGTTAATGACTAGATTTAACATTGACAAAATCAAAATGGTTTATGGAATAAATAAATGTTTAAGTGAAATCCTTTAGTAAATTAAATAAATGGTAAAGTTAATTATTCAAAAAATGTATTAAATAGCTAAATCATTGTACCTTGTAAATTTTAAGGAAATGAATGCATGCATTACTGATGATTAATCAAAAACTGGATGGTGATACTAATTTTGACTGCCTGGGGTCTCAAAAATAAGAGGCCCGCTATTGCGCAACACCCAAAACCAAGTTACTAAAACTGATATAGAGGAACAGTGCTTGAATGTGTGCCAGTGTCTGTCAGCACAAGCTCACATAAATTAAGAAATAATGAATGTTATTTGTTCCTGGTCCCTCCTCAGCAATAACAACATCTGAACACCTTATTGCAATGCTTTATACAAAACACATTAATTTGCTTAAATGCAATTTTATTTATTGTATTTGTGGTTCAGATCTTGAAACTGCGATATAATTTCTTGCTATTTAGACACTGCAATTGCGTCAAAGGGGTGCCTCTGAGAATTTTAATCAATTTCAGATGAATGCCTTTTCCACAGATTTATCAGTCTAACATCAACATTGACATAAATGTTGACAATCTAATGGTTAGTTTATAACCATTTCTTATGCATTTTAATGCCTCTAATGGATCTAAAGTTATAAACGCTTGCTGACAGACACTCTAATTGGCTGATGGCGAGTTAATGACTCACATTCATTTTTAATTACATGTCTGGGACTCAACCTGCAACCTTTATGACAGCAGCCCAGGTTCTAAACCACTAGGCCACCACTCAGAGATGTGTTGAGGCTTGTTTTTAGCACGTCTCATATGAGGGGTGTCAGGTAGCATGTTATGTGATGGGGATGTAGATAGATGCATGTGACCAATTATGAGAAACGTGCAAACTAATCAGTTTACACAACACAGACCTGCAGGATGAACTTCCTACTATTTCCTACTATTTTTATCATGATCCAGTAAATCTCATGAAATAAAATTAAACTGCTTTGAAACTGTTTTTTCCCCCTGATTACTTTGGGTTTGAAAAAAAAAAAAAAGTAGAATTCTAGGTATTATGTTCAACTTCACATTGCGCCATCACAAAAAAAAGTATTTCCAGGACTGTAATAATATTATAAGGGTCAACAACACTGAGTTTGGGATTCATTGACAGACACACACCCACATGTGTAAATATTTTAGGGTAGTATCTCTATTTATAGCATAAAAACCCAATAAATAAAAGTGTAAATGGTCAAAGATCAGAGCTGTTTTGTATGATGCCCTTGACTGTCATCTATATAATATGGAAACATTCTACAGCCATTCTACAGTTAAACAAAAATCATAAAACAAAATTCCTCTGACCTACAAGCAGCTATCAGAGGATTTACTGAAACAGTGTGGAGCATTAAAAGATAAAGCATCTGGTCTAAGGAAGGGACATTTCACATACAGTGACTCCGCTGTAGTAAATAAAGACCCCCTACTGGCCCCATTCAACAGAAAACTTCTCCTAGTGGCAGCTCCTTTGAATTGTTTACATATAAATAGAGCTCATGGACCATGGTATGACATGTGTTAGTGAGTGTTGATGGAATAAGGTTTTCCATGATTGCAATTAAAAAAAAAACGTTATTAACATTTATAATATAATAAAGTATGTAATCATTTAAAATGATATTATAATATTATATTATTTTCAGCACTGTAAAAAAGGTATATGTCCCTCAGAATTAATTTTTACGAACTGAACAAAATTAGAAACTTAGTGACTGTCTGTTTAAAAAAAAATCATTCTGATACTACTAGTAATAAATAAATTTAGACACGCTATTGCAACTCTTATGGCATGAGGTGACGCGGCTCTCTCTTTTAGATCAGTTTACTCTTACTAGAAGAACAGACTCCAGCTTACTTATAAATAGAAAAAGATTTATCTGCAGACCATTTAAAATCATTGCATTATTTAACCTGTGGCCTAATGCTAAGCATAACAATGATATTTTCTAATGTATTCTGTTATTTTTTTTATTACTTTATCACATTTAAAGTCTATTTTGTTTTTATTTGCAAATGTACCGTTTCATTATTTACATTTACGAACATTCGTACCTAACGCATTAAAATTAATTTCTAGTTTATTTTGTTTCTTTGGTATTTCACTGTACAGAAGAATATTGCTACGATTTTTTTAAAATAAGTAAATAAAAAAATGTATAAACTGGCAGAAAAAAGCAGACGACATGCGCAACGACAAAATAATAATGGTCAAAATAAATTACCATTAAACGCGCATAACGCCACATTCATACTGCACGCGCTCGACGCGACTAAACCAGAACGCTCACTAAACAACGAAGTTGCAGGCGAGCGTCTCACACCAAACCACAGGCTTAAGCAGCGGCAGTTTTCATAAACCTCAAAACATTTTAATGTCCGCAGCTACCCCTCTTTTCCCCTGCAGGATAGACCACATTACAAGGCGGGAGACCCCGTGCGCCTCGTCCCACGTTTTCCTGCCCCGATAACGGAGCGCCTGCAGTGAACTTAACCACCAGTGCTGGCCGTTCGCGCCAGTTTCACATTGATTGATTTGCAACAATAACTAAAGTAAGAGTAGCCTATATTAACTGATGGACGTTTTGGAAAACGCCGTAGATGGGAAAGCAACCGGGTTGACTGTAACAGATGTTGGTCTTACCTTGCAGCTGGTTTCAGAGCAGAGCACACTGGATCCACTGATACTTGTGTTGCAGGAAAACTTCCCTCAGATTGTGTGTGTCCTCCAGCTCAGGCGTCTGTGGTTATGTGGGCTCTGAGTCTCCTGACAGGTGGTGTGTAGTGTGTGTGGTCATTTGCGACGTGTAAGGTAGGCTACATGGATCAGGTTTCACTGCGGTTTTGTACATGCTCCTCCCGACTTTTACTATTAGCTGAGAGAAACTGGCATGCAAAGAGTCAAATTTAGGTTTACATCTTCAAAGCAATAAAAAGAAAGTCTTTAAATCAAATACAATCAACATAATTTACGGAAGGAAGAGGAAGTTGTAGCCTAAAATAAAACCTTGATCCAAAAATTATTCAATCCAGAGAAGGGTCATTCTTGCTATTGGGTGCCATTTCAGCTTGGTAACTTTCTATCAAAAAATGTTTACATTTCCATGATGTAATCATTTAATCTGAAGAAGGACATGTTAAACTATGAGAAAAATATAAAAAGATTTATCTGCAGACCATTTAAAATCATTGCATTATTTAACCTGTGGCCTAATGCTAAGCATAACAATGATATTTTCTAATGTATTCTGTTATTTTTTTTATTACTTTATCACATTTAAAGTCTATTTTGTTTTTATTTGCAAATGTACCGTTTCATTATTTACATTTACGAACATTCGTACCTAACGCATTAAAATTAATTTCTAGTTTATTTTGTTTCTTTGGTATTTCACTGTACAGAAGAATATTGCTACGATTTTTTTTAAATAAGTAAATAAAAAAAATGTATAAACTGGCAGAAAAAAAGCAGACGACATGCGCAACGACAAAATAATAATGGTCAAAATAAATTACCATTAAACGCGCATAAGGCCACATTCATACTGCACGCGCTCGACGCGACTAAACCAGAACGCTCACTAAACAACGAAGTTGCAGGCGAGCGTCTCACACCAAACCACAGGCTTAAGCAGCGGCAGTTTTCATAAACCTCAAAACATTTTAATGTCCGCAGCTACCCCTCTTTTCCCCTGCAGGATAGACCACATTACAAGGCGGGAGACCCCGTGCGCCTCGTCCCACGTTTTCCTGCCTCGATAACGGAGCGTCTGCAGTGAACTTAACCACCAGTGCTGGCCGTTCGCGCCAGTTTCACATTGATTGATTTGCAACAATAACTAAAGTAAGAGTTGCCTATATTAACTGATGGACGTTTTGGAAAACGCCGTAGATGGGAAAGCAACCGGGTTGACTGTAACAGATGTTGGTCTTACCTTGCAGCTGGTTTCAGAGCAGAGCACACTGGATCCACTGATACTTGTGTTGCAGGAAAACTTCCCTCAGATTGTGTGTGTCCTCCAGCTCAGGCGTCTGTGGTTATGTGGGCTCTGAGTCTCCTGACAGGTGGTGTGTAGTGTGTGTGGTCATTTGCGACGTGTAAGGTAGGCTACATGGATCAGGTTTCACTGTGGTTTTGTACATGCTCCTCCCGACTTTTACTATTAGCTGAGAGAAACTGGCATGCAAAGAGTCAAATTTAGGTTTACATCTTCAAAGCAATAAAAAGAAAGTCTTTAAATCAAATACAATCAACATAATTTACGGAAGGAAGAGGAAGTTGTAGCCTAAAATAAAACCTTGATCCAAAAATTATTCAATCCAGAGAAGGGTCATTCTTGCTATTGGGTGCCATTTCAGCTTGGTAACTTTCTATCAAAAAATGTTTACATTTCCATGATGTAATCATTTAATCTGAAGAAGGACATGTTAAACTATGAGAAAAATATATGGGTCCAGCTCAGGATATTCTTTAATATTTTTTCACGAAATTGTTCACACGTGCAAGGGCTAAATGTCCACCCTGTTACAGGACAATCTCATCTCAATTACATCTCAAGTGTTTTGAATGCACAGTTATTGTAATATTTACATTTTCCAAGAGCTAAAATGTCCCTCTCTTTACACTGCAAATGTATTTCAACAATACATAATCAGTAACTCTTGAAAAAGGTTGTATTTTAAGGCAGTTTTATTTCAGCACATTTCTTTTAGAATAAAAAGACATTTCAATAGAATTTCGGCACCATTCTAAATTATTTAATTTGACCATTTAATTCCCTACAAGTAACCAGAAAGATATGCATAACATTTGTAGTACTTATTTTATTAATATATAAAAAAAACAGAGGTAACAGGGTGGACAGGACATAACAGGGTGGACATTACACCACTGAACAACAGTATATGTCAACATAGTATTTATATCGTTATGGGTTAATGACATAGGCGTAATGGTTTTTCTTCTGTACAAATTGTATTTTCTATCCCCTTACCCTAAATCTACCTCTTAGAATTTCTAAACACAAAACTACTATTTTAGGTTTTCAGAACGCTTCATTCTGTATGACAGATTATAAGCTTTTTTCCTCATGGGAACCAAATAAATGTCCCCACAAGATCAAAGTTTACTGTTCCTGTGGGGACATTTGGACCCCAAAACGCAGGGAATACCAGTAAACACACACACACACACACACATTGTAATGGCAAAATCAAGATAATTTATTACAGTTTCTACCTAATCAACAAAGCTGAGTTCTAACACTTTTTTTCTTCCTTCCTTTATGTCCTTTCTCCACCTCTCCTTCTTTTCATTGAGGTATATTTGCCTTCTTTCAGGGTCTGCATCACAACAAGCCATGTAGCGTCACTACTTTTCTGCAGCAGACAGCACCATTTCCTGACAAATACATGCATACTTTTTAAGCAACTATTTCTTTTAAATGCATAATAAATTAATTATAAGTACCAATACATGCATTAAACACTTATGTAATTTTTACATCAAATGTTACAATATGTCCACCCTGTTATAATGCAAAACAGTAACAGGGTGGACAGTAACAGGAGGGACATTTTATGCTTAAGTCAGCCATTGCTATTCATTTGATGAACAACAAGCTAGTGCGTAGTGATCACTGAGGAAGATTTTTAACCTGTTTAACAACTATATTTTCAAAATTACAAAAAAATTATCAGTTTCCACTAGAAATAAGCATAACAGAGTGGACATGTTATGCTTTACCACATCAGTGAATTCTAAAACACTGAAAAAAGGGTGAATTAAAGAGTGTTACTTACTCTGCTTCTTGTATATAGTTTGCCACCAAAAAATGTTATACTTCCTGAGAGTCATGTTATTAAACATTCAAGGGCTGTGTTAAGGAGGACTTTTCATCAGAGTAACAGGGGGGACATTCAATTCAGGGACACATGTTTTAAAGACTTTAAGCACTAAAAATATATAAATAACAAAAAATATATTTTGTTGAGGAGTATTATAAATAAGAATATTCAACAATATTGAAAATTTTGGAATTTGATTTTATTACTTATATTTGTGGCTGAAGTTATGAAAGCTTACTTGGGGACATGACAGTTTAGCCTTCTTGCACTAAAATAGGAGCAATATTTTTTTTATTAATTAATTTTGGGTACATATTTATTGTGTTCTATGGTAGAGGAGTAGTAACTTTGTAAGATGAGCATTTAGAAACAAGTATTAGCCCATTTTTACAGAAAATATACCACATTATATCATGGGGACTCAAATGGCACCAAATGCTAGGAATGACCCAGAAATATATGTGACCCTGGACCCCAAAACCAGTCATAAGGGTCAATTTTTTGAAATTGAGATTTATTCTGAATAAATAAGCTTTCCATTGATGTATGGTTTGTTATGATAGGACAATATTTGGCCGAGATACAACTATTTGAATAGCTGGAATCAGAGAGTGCAAAAAAACAAAATACTGAGAAAATCGCCTTTAGAGTTATCCAAATGAAGTTCTTAGCAATGCATATTACTAATCAAAAATTAAGTTTTCATATATTTACGGTAGAAAATTTACAAAATATCTTCATGGAACATGATCTTTACTTAATATCCTAATGATTTTTGGCATAAAAGAAAAATTCATGGGGACTCAAATGGCACCAAATGCTAGGAATGACCCAGAAATATATGTGACCCTGGACCCCAAAACCAGTCATAAGGGTCAATTTTTTGAAATTGAGATTTATTCTGAATAAATAAGCTTTCCATTGATGTATGGTTTGTTATGATAGGACAATATTTGGCCGAGATACAACTATTTGAATATCTGGAATCAGAGAGTGCAAAAAAACAAAATATTGAGAAAATCGCCTTTAGAGTTATCAAAATGAAGTTCTTAGCAATGCATATTACTAATCAAAAATTAAGTTTTGATATATTTACGGTAATACAATGTTTTTTTGGCTATTGCTAAAAATATACCCCAGCGACTTAAGACTGGTTTTGTGGTCCAGGGTCACATATTAAAAGCAAATACCACCTGGGTGAAGAAATTGATAGGCTATTATTTGTTGGGGAAATGGCGGACATGATAAATATAATCTAGGCTAAATTAGGTAAAGATTCCATAAACACTCAAGGATGGTTTGGAATTTCATCAAAATTAGAAATTTCAGAAAATCTACTCCGGCACAATAAGGTATGCATGTATTTCCACTTAAGAAAATAATCTTGCTTTGGTAAATCAATTATGACAAAGTAAAACATGAGATGGTGTCTAATTAGGAGTCATAATTATGAGATAAAAAGTCACAATTTTGAGAAGTCAGTATGACAAGACAAAATTATGACGAGTCATAATTCCGACACAAGTCTTTTCATATTTTTTCATCATTTAATGTCAACCGCCTTTATGTAACCACACCTTTAGTATCTCATAATTTTAACTTATCATAAAGACGGTTTATCTATTAGAAATTGGCATCCATATGCATGTGATTTAAAATGAACCAAGATATCAAAAGAAAAAAAAAATGCTTCTAGACCACATGGTTCAAGAGCAGAGGGTGGCACTAACGGGTTTGAAATCAAGACCAGACCAGACAAGTTTAGACTCTCACTTCTTAATGTTCCACATTTCCCTCCAAAGGGAAGGGTTTATAGGCTGCCATAGACTCCCAGCCAGAAACAATAGGAGCCTCCATACCTTCAGTGACTGGCCCTAAAACGAATGAAAAACCGCTAGGGGAGAATACAGTTGCATATTAATAAAAACCAAAAACTGACATGCTGCTGTGCTCTCTGGCTTGGGTTTA